ATTGTACCAAGAGTAAGTGCGTTACTTACCCACATGGATGTGTTACTTAACCATATGAATGATACACAAAGTATGTGCGTTACTTGCCCATATGGATGGTACCAAGCGTGAAGGGTTACTTACCTATATGGATAGTACAAAGAGTAAGTGCGTTATTTACCCATACGGATGTTACTAAAAGTAAGTGTGTTTCTTACCCATATGGATGGTACCAAGGGTAGGCGCGTTACTTACCCATATCTATGGTACTAAGAGTATGTGCGTTACTTACCCGTATGGATGGTACCAATAGTAAGTGCGTTAGTTATCCGTATGGATGGTACCAAAAGTAAGTGTGTTACTTACCCGTATGGATGGTACCAAGCGTAAGTGCATTACTCACCCGTAAGCTGCGTTACTTACCCGTAGGGATTGGTACCAATAAAAAATGCGTTACTTACCCATATGGATGGTATCAAGAGTAGGTGTGTTACTTATCCGTATGGATGATACTAACAGTGAGTGTGTTACTTACCCATATGGATGGTACCAATAGTAAATGCGTTACTTGCCCATATGGATGGTACCAATAGTAAGTGCGTTACTTGTCCGTATGGATGGTACAAGGAGTGAGTGTGTTTATTATCCGTATGGATGGTACCAAACGTAAGTGCATTACTTACCCGTATGGAGGATACTAAGAGTAACTGCGTTACTTACCCGTAGGGATTGGTACCAATAGTAAATGCCTTTACTTACCCATATGGATGGTACCAATTGTAGGTGCGTTACTTACCCGTATAGATGGTACCAAGAGTAAGTGTGTTACTTACCCGTATGGATGATACTAAAAGTACGTGCGTTACTTAACCACATGGATGGTACAAATACTAAGTGCGTTACTTACCCATATTAATGGTATAAAGAGTAAGTGCGTTTCTTACCTATTTGGATGGTACCAAGACTGAGTGCGTTACTTACCCATATGGATGGTACAAAGAGTAAGTGCGTTCTTTACCCATACGGATGTAACTAAAAGTTAGTGCGTTTCTTACCCATATGGATGGTACCAAGAGTAGGTGCGTTACTTACCCATATCGATGGTCCCAAGAGTTAGTGCGTTACTTACCCAAATGGATGGTAGTAATAGTAAGTGCGCTACATACCCGCATGGATTTTAACAGGAGTAAGTGCGTTACTTACCCGTATGGATGTTACCAGGAGTAAGTGCGTTTCTTACCCGTATGGATGGTACCAATAGTACGTGTGTTACTTATCCGTATGGATGGTACCAAGAGTACGTTTGTTACTGTCCCGTATGGATGGTACCAAAAATAGGTCCATTCCTTACCCGCATGGATGTTACCAAGAGTAACTCCGTTACTTACCCGTATGGATGGTACCAAGAGTAAGTGTGTTACTTACCCGTATGGATGATACTAAAAGTACGTGCGTTACTTAACCACATGGATGGTACAAATACTAAGTGCGTTACTTACCCATATTAATGGTATAAAGAGTAAGTGCGTTACTTACCTATTTGGATGGTACCAAGAGTGAGTGCGTTACTTACCCATATGGATGGTACAAAGAGTAAGTGCGTTCTTTACCCATACGGATGTAACTAAAAGTTAGTGCGTTTCTTATCCATATGGATGGTACCAAGAGTAGGTGCGTTACTTACCCATATCGATGGTCCCAAGAGTTAGTGCGTTACTTACCCAAATGGATGGTAGTAATAGTAAGTGCGCTACATACCCGCATGGATTTTAACAGGAGTAAGTGCGTTACTTACCCGTATGGATGTTACCAGGAATAAGTGCGTTTCTTACCCGTATGGATGGTACCAATAGTACGTGTGTTACTTATCCGTATGGATGGTACCAAGAGTACGTGTGTTACTGTCCCGTATGGATGGTACCAAAAATAGGTCCATTCCTTACCCGCATGGATATTACCAAGAGTAACTCCGTTACTTACCCGTATGGATGGTACCAATAGTAAATACGTTACTTACCCATATGGATGGTACCAATAGTAAGTGCGTTACTTACCCGTATAGATTGTACTAAGAGTAAGTGCGTTACTCGATATAGATGATACTAAGAGTATGTGCGTTACTTAACCACATGGATGGTTCAAAGACTAAGTGCGTTATTTACCCATATGGATGGTACAAGAATAAGTGCGCTACTTACCCATATGGATGGTATAAGAATACGTACGTTACTTAACCACATGTATGGTTCAAAGACTAAGAGCGTGATTTACCCATATTAATGGTACTAAGAATAAGTGCGTTACTTACCCATATAGATGGTAAAAAGAGTAAGTGCATTACTTACCCATATGGATGGTACTAAAAGTAAGTGTGTTATTTACCCATGTGGATGGTACCAAGAGTGAGTGCGTTACTTACCCACATGGATGGTACTTAGTTTACGTGCGTGATTTATCCATTTGGATGGTTCTAAAAGTAAGTGTGTACTTACCCATATGGTTGGTACCAAGAGTAGGTGCGTTACTTACCCATATCGAGAGTACTAAGAGTAAGTGGGTTATTTACCCAAATGGATGGTACCAATAGTAGGTGCGTTACTTACCCGTATGGATGGTACCAAGAGTAAGTGCGTTACTTACCCATATGGATGACTACGAGTACGTGCGTTACTTAACCACATAAATTGTACAATTACTAAGTGCGTTACTTACCCATATTAATGGTACTAAGAATAAGTGCGTTACTTACTTATATGGATGGTATAAAGAGTAAGTGCGTTCTTTACCCATTTGGATGGTACCAAGAGTGAGTGGGTTACTTACCCATATGGATGGTACAAAGAGTACGTGCGTTCTTTACCCATACGGATGTAACTAAAAGTTAGTGCGTTTCTTACCAATATGGATGCTACCAAGAGTAGGTGCGTTACTTACCGATATCGATGGTACTAAGAGTAGGTGCGTTACTTACCCGTATGGAAGGTACTAATAGTGAGTGCGCTACATATCCGCATGGATTTAAACAGGAAAAAGTGCGTTACTTACCCGTATGGATGTTACCAAGAGTAAGTGCGTTACTTACCCGCATGGATTGTACCAATAGTAAGTGCGTTACTTATCCGTATGGATGGTACAAAGATTAAGTGTGTTACTTACCCGTACGGATTTTACCAAAGGTAAGTGCATTACTTACCCGTATGGATGTTTCCAAGAGTAACTACGTTACTTTCCCGTATGGATGGTACCAATTGTAAGTCCGTTACTTACCCGTATAGATTGTACCAAGAGTAAGTGCGTTACTTACCCATATGGATGATAATAAGAGTACTTGCGTTACTTAATCACATTGATGGTTCAAAGATTAAGTGCCTTATTTACCCATATTAATGATACTAAGAATAAGTACGTTACTTACCCATATGGATGGTATTAAGAGTAAGTGCGTTACTTTCCCATAAGAATGGTACTAAAAGTAAGTGCGTTACTTACCTGTATGGATTGTACAAAGAGTAAGTGCGTTCTTTACCCATATGGATGTAACTAAACGTTTTTTTTGCGTTTCTTACCCATATGGATGGTACCAAGAGTAGGTGCGTTAGTTACCCATATGGATGGTACTAGGAGTAAGTGCATTACTTACCAGTATTGATGGTACCAAGAGTAAATGCGTTACTTACCCATATGGATAGTAACAATAGTAAGTGCGTTATATCCCGTATGGATATTACCAGTAGTAAGTGCATAACCTGTATGGATGGTACTAATAGTAAGTGCGGTACATACCCGCATGGATTTTAACAGTGCTAAGTGTGTTTCTTACCCGTAGGGATGATACCAATAGTGAGTACGTTACTTACCTGTATGGATGTTACCAGGAGTAAGTGCGTTAGTTACCCATATGGATGGTACTAGGAGTAAGTGCATTACTTACCAGTATTGATGGTACCAAGAGTAAATGCGTTACTTACCCATATGGATAGTAACAATAGTAAGTGCGTTATATCCCGTATGGATATTACCAGAAGTAAGTGCATAACCCGTATGGATGGTACTAATAGTAAGTGCGGTACATACCCGCATGGATTTTAACAGTGCTAAGTGTGTTTCTTACCCGTATGGATGATACCAATAGTGAGTACGTTACTTACCCGTATGGATGTTACCAGGAGTTAGTGCGTTAGTTACCCATATGGATGGTACTAGGAGTAAGTGTATTACTTACCAGTAATGATGGTACCAAGAGTAAATGCGTTACTTACCCACATGGATAGTAACAATAGTAAGTGCGTTATATCCCGTATGGATATTACCAGTAGTAAGTGCATAACCCGTATGGATGGTACCAATGATAAGTGCGTTACTTACCCGTATGGATGGCACCAAGAGTAAGTGCGTTACTTACCCGTATGGATGGTACCAAGCGTAAGCTTGTTACTTACCCGTATGGATGTTACCAAGAGTAACTGCGTTACTTACCCGTAGGGATGGTACCAAGAGTAAATGCGTTACTTACCCATATGGATGGTATCAAAATAAGTGTTTTATTTACCCGTATAGATTGTACCAAGAGTAAGCGTGTTACTACCCATATAGACGATACTAAGAGTAATTGCGTTACTTAACCATGTGGACGGTGCTAAGAGTAAATGCGTTACTTACCCATATGGATGGTAGCAGGAGAAAGTGCGTTACTTACCCATATGGATAGTACCAGGAAAAAGTGCGTTACTTAGCCATGTGGATGGTACCAAGAGTAAGTGCCCTACTTACCGATATGGACGGTACCAGGAGTATGTGCGTTACTTACCCATGTGGATGGTGCCAATAGTAAGTGCGTTACATACCCTTATGGATGTTACCAAGAGTGAGTGCGTAACTTACCCGTATGGATGGTACCAAGAGTGGGTGCTTTACTTACCCGTATAGATGGTACCAAGCGTAAGTGCGCTACATACCCGTATAGATGTTACCAAGAGTAACTGCGTTACTTACCCGTAGGGATGATACCAAGAGTAAATGCGTTACCTACTCTCATCTCCCTTCTCCCTACTCTCATCATCCTTCTCCCTACACTCATCACCCTTCTCCCTACTCTCATCACCCTTCTCCCTACTCTCATCTCCCTTCTCCCTACTCTCATCACCCTTCTCCCTACTCTCATCTCCCTTCTCCCTACTCTCATCACCCTTCTCCCTACTCTCATCACCCTTCTCCCTACTCTCATCTCCCTTCTCCCTACTCTCATCACCCTTCTCCCTACTCTCATCACCCTTCTCCCTACTCTCATCACCCTTCTCCCTACTCTCATCTCCTTTCTCCCTACTCTCATACCCATATGGATGGTACCAAGAGTAAGTGCGTTACTTTACTGTATGGATGTTACCAAGAGTAAGTGCGTTACTTACCCGTATATATTGTACCAAGCGTAAGCGTGTTACTTACGAATATATACGATATTAAGAGTACGTGCATTACTTAACCATATGGATGGTACTAAGAGTAACTCTGTTAATTACCCATATGGATGGTACCATGAGTAAGTGCGTTACTTACCCAATTTTATTATACCAGGAGTATGTGAGTTACATACCCGTATGTATGGTACCAGGAGAAAGTGCATTATTTACCCTTATGGATGGTACCAATAGTAAGTGCGTTACTTACCCGTATGGATGGTACCAAGAGTAAGTGCGTTACTTACCCGCATGGATGGAACCAAGAGTAACTGTGTTGCTTACCCATATGGATGGTACCAGGAGTAAGTGCGTTACTTACCCATAAGGATTGTCCTAAGAGTAAGTGCGTTACTTACCTTTATGGGCGGTACCAGGAATAAGTGTATTAATTACCCATATGGATTGTACCACTAGTAATTGCGTTAATTTTCCGTATGGATGTTACCAGGAGTAAGTGCGTTATTTATCCACATATATGGTACCCAGAGTAAGTGTGTTACTTACCCGTATGGATGGTGCCAAGCGTAAGTGCATTACTTACCCGCATGGATGTTACCAAAAGTAACTACGTTTTCCACGCGTAGGGATGGTACCAATAGTAAATGCGATAGATACCCATATAAATGGTACCAAGAGTAAGTGCGTTACTTACCCATATGGATGGTACTAAGAGTATGTGCGTTACTTACCCGTATGGATGGTACCAAGAGTAAGTGTGTTACTTCCCCGTATGGATGGTACCAACCGTAAGTGCGTTACTTACCTGGTACGGATGTTACCGAGAGTAACTGCGTTACTTACTCATATGGATGGTACCAAGCGTAAATGCGTTACTTACCCATATGGATGGTACCAAGAGTAAGTGCGTTACTTACCCGTAGGGATGGTACCAAGAGTAAGTGCATTACTTACCCATATGGATGTTACCAAGAGTAACTGCATTACTTAACCGTATGGATTGTACAAATAGTAAATGCGTTACTTACCCATATGGATGGTACCAAGAGTAAGTGCGATACTTACCCGTATGGATAGTACCAAGAATAAGTGCGACCCATATGGATGATACAAAGAGTACGTGCGTTACTCAACCACATGGATGGTACAAAGACTAAGTACGTTACGTACCCATATGGATGGTACTAGGAATAAGTGCGTTACTTACCCATATGGATGGTACTAAGAGTAAGTGAGTTACTTACCCATACGGATGGTACTAAAACAAAGTGCGTTACTTACCGATGTGGATGGTACCAAGAGTGAGTTCGTTACTTACCCATATCCATAGTACTAAGCGTAAATGCATTATTTTACTCATATTGATGATACAAGTTCGTTTCTTACCCAAATGGATGGTACCAAGAGTAGGTGCGTTACTTACCCATATTGATAGTACTCATAGTAAGTAGGTTCCTTACCCATATGGATGGTACCAATAGTAAGTGCGTTACATCCCCGCATGGATGGTACCAAGAGTAAGTGCGCTACTTGCCAGTATGGATTGTCCCAAGAGTATGTGCGTTACTTACCCATATGGATGGCACTAAGAATATATGCGATACTTACCTCTATGGATGGTACCAATAGAAAGTGCGTTACTTATTCATATGGATGGGACGAAGAGTAAGTGTGTTACGTACCCGTATGGATGGTACCAAGCGTAAGTGCATTATTTACCCGTATGGATGTTACCAAGAGTAACTGCAAAACTTACTCGGGGGTATGGTACCAATAGTAAATGCGTACTTACCCATATGGATGGTACCAAGAGTAAGTGCGTTACGTACCCATATGGATGATATTAAGAGTACGTGCGTTTCTTAATTATATGGGTGGTACAAAGACTAAGTGCGTTACTTACCCATATGGATGGTACTAGGAATAAGTACGTTAGAAACCCATATGGATTGTACAAAGAGTAAGTGCGTTACTTACCCATATGGATGGTACTAAAGGCAAGTTCGTTACTTACCCATATGGATGGTACTAGGATTAAGTGCATTACTTACCAGTATGGATGGTACCAAAAGTAGGTGCGTTACTTACCCATATGGATGATACCAGGAGTAAGTGCGCTACTTACCCATATGGATGGTACCAATAGTAAGTGCGTTACTTACCCGTATGGATGGTACTAATAGAAAGTGCGTTACTTACCCGTATGGATGGTACCAATCGAAAGTGCGTTACTTACCCGTATGGATGTTACCAAGAATAACTGCGTTACTTACCCGTAGGGATGGTACCAAGAGTAAATGCTTTACTTACCCATATGCATGATACCAAGAGTAAGTGCGTTACTTACCTGTATGGATTGTTCCAAGAGTAAGTGCGTTACTTAGATATATGGATGATACTAAGAGTACGTGTGTTACTTAAGCACATGGATGGTACAAAGACTATGTGCGTTACTTACCCATATGGATTGTACAAAAAGCATGTGCATTACTAGGAGCATGTGCATTACTAGGAGTAAGTGCATTACTTACCAGTATGGATGGTACCAAAAGTAAGAGCGTTACTTACCCATATGGATGGTCTTAAGAGTAAGTGCGTTACTTACCCGTATGGATGTTACTAGGAGTAAGTGCAATATTTTCCTGTATGGATGTTACCATGAGTAAGTGTGTTGCTCACCCGTATGGATGGTGCCAATGGTAAGTGTGTTACTTACCCTTCTGGTTAGCACTAGGGGTAATTGTGTTAATTACCCTTATGGTTGGTACTAAGAGTAAGTGCGTTACGTACCTTTGTGGTTGGTACTAAGAGTAAGTGCGTTACTTACTCTTGTGGTTGGCACTAGGGGTAATTGTGTTGATTACCTTTATGTTGGTACTAAGAGTAAGTGCGTTACACACCCTTGTGCTTGACATTAAGAGTAAGTGCGTTACGTACCCTTATGGTTGGTATTACGAGTAAGTGCGTTTCTTACCCGTGTGATTGGTACTACGCATATGTGCGTTACTTACCCTTGTGGTTGGTACTAAGAGTACGTGCGCTACTTAAACTTGCGGTTGGTACTAAAAGTCGTCAACGAGAGTTATGTGTTGGCCACGTCCTCGCTTGGGTGGAGCCGACTTCGTGGTCGGGTCTGCGGGAGGTGCAGCCGGCCTGCAGCAGTGGGCGACGCCGACTTGGGCGAGCTGGTCGACGGGTTGGTCGACCTGCACTGGGCCACTGCGATGCCGCCGACTTTGGGACGGCGGCGGACGACTTCAACCTGGTGGTCGACGAGGGGAGACGTCGACCTGGGTAGGGCGCGGACTTCGGGAGGTCGACTTGGGAGGTCGACCTAGGAGGGCGTCGACTTGGTGACGCCGACCTGGTGAAGCCGACCTGGTGTGGTCGGCTAACAGCTGGGCTGGTTGACCTGGAGTTGGTCGACCAAGGGTGTTGTCGACTTGGTGTGGTCGACCAGTGGTGGTCGTCGACCTGGCCGGTCGACGGGCACAAGGAGAAGCAGCTGGTCGACGTGGTTGCCCGGTCGACCAGGTTACACGGACGACGGGGTCCTGCGGAGGTGCACGACAGTCGCCCAGGTGGTTCTGGCGAAGCCGACCTCAGTGGTGGTATCCCAAGGTCGACGTGGCTGATCACGTGCAGTCAACAGCACGTGGACGATTTGGTGTTTGCCCTATGCAGGTGACGAGTCACAGCACGCCAATCAACTGCGAGCACCTGCGAAGCAGGTGCGCTGCTATCCTGCGCATGCAACGCTGTGCAGCCGCCTTGCTGCAGCGTTGGCACGCCGTCGGCTTGCAGCATTGGCAGACCGCGGCTTTGCACTGCTGGAGCGCGGTCGACCTTGCTGCGCTGGCAGTCGACCTGCATGCTTGCTAGCATCTGATGTAGTCTTGCTTGTCAACTTTGTTGCTACCATTATTCTCAATCTTTGCTAGTGAAACTCTTGCCAATTTTCCCCATGAATGCGCAAGTACTGTGAACGCTACGATCACTCCTACCCCGTGCCTTCCCCGTAGTCTAGCTCCCGTTGTACGAGTTATCTCCGCATGGTGCGGTGAGCGTGGACGGCACCGCGACTTACCTTCATTCTAGTCGACTTAGTTGCGCATTACCTATCTTGTTCGTCGGCCGGCAGCTGTGTTAGTCACCATGGTTGGCTCCGTAGGTAACGCAGGCGTAGTGGATACCTTGGAGACACGGCTGGCTGATGCGAGGAGACGCCACGAGGATGGCGAGTACGGGCAGACCCTTCCTTTGGAGGTCGTCGAGCTGGGCATCCGCGCAAAGTGGGCAACGGAACACCCTTCTCGACCTGCTTCTCCTCGACCGGTGAACAACGAAGGTGGCGTCGACGTGTGCGTCAGCGCCGGTGACCAAGTCGGCACCAGTGCGGGAGGCATGTCGAGGCAGAGAGGAGTGATTAACACTGGTGAAGTCGGTGGCGTTCAGGCGCGAGGGCTGCAGTCGTCGGCGGCTGCGGGCACCTCGCAAGGCGACGTCGGTGGACGTCGAAGCAGCCTGACGCCGACGTCAGCGACCCACATGACGGCGGGCGGGATAGCGCCGACTTTCGGCTACTTCAAATTCACGCCGGACAAGATCGTCGTCCCTGTGCCGCTGGTAGGTCGACATGACCTCCTCACCTGGAAGGAGGCCATCAGGCCCCAGTTGGAGATGGCCGACCTGATGTGCTTCGCCGACGGCAGTGTGGAGACGCCGCCAGAGTCCAACGCCAAGCTGCTGACCTTCATGGTCATCTCGCAGTGCTTCTCGCCGGTGGTGCAGATCGCCTTGAAGTCGAGCCGGAGCTTCCTGGACGCCGGCCACCATTCGTGGCAGTTCATCACGTCGACGTACCAGGTCACCAACGACCTATACATCGGCCAGCTGTAGGAGAAGATGACGCATCTGAGGATGGGCGACCAGGAGACGGCGACCGACTACTGCAACCGAGCTCGGCGGCTCCTTGCCAACATGCGTATGGCCGGCGTCACCTAGTCGACGGCGTCATACATCACGCATGCCGTCAAGGGGCTTCCGAGCAGCTACAAC